TGAAATTCTTATTGGAATATGTTTAGTTAGTGTTTCTTTCGTGTCGAGGAGGGGGGGGGTATACGATGACATTGCAAGCTGATATATAAAGAATAAGAAAAATGAGAGAGAGAAAGAGAAAGATAAACGGATGACATTGCAAGCTGATATATAAAGAATAAGAAAAATGAGAGAGAGAAAGAGAAAGATAAACAGATATAGACAGAAACCACAGCCAAGTTTACTTTCACAGAAAAAAGAAAGAAACGAAGATGGTTGATAGAGAGAAAGAGAAAGAAAAGGAAAAATGAACTTACAATAAAGATAATAAAGAATCACGCTAATCATAGTGAGTGGTAATGGCGATAAGAAGAGTGACACAGATAAATGGTATAATGATAGAAACGCATGATAGAAAGACAGATAATGGCAATAGGGATAAACATGATCATGTGCGTACTGTACATTAGCATCCCAAAGTTCCCTTTTATTTATTCATTACGATATGTATATGTATCTGCACATTTACCTTCCTACCTATCAATATGTGTGCAATGATTTCTTGTTCACTTAAAGTACAGGCCGCTCATATGTTCATCATCAGTAACGTAATAATACTTTTTTTTTTTTTTTTTTTTTTTTTTTTTTTGAGAGGAATGGCCCACTCTCACCTCAAAGCAAGATGCCGATTAGCGAATTAACGCTTTCAATCAGCCAGGAATTCAACTCAGGACCTGCTTGGATTCCTTCGTCAAGGATCAGCTGTGTGTCCGGCGAGAGGCTGCACGAAGCGGGATGAAAAGGAACCCAGCTGAGGCGTCTTCGCGGCCTTGGCATGCAGTTGAATAAATTTGTAATAAATTAAAATAAATAAATAAACATGGCATCCCTCTGGACACGAGGCGAGTTTGGGCCATGCAACTCAGCCACCAAGCGGCTTCGGACACAGTGCGACTTTGGCTTCGCGAATGTTCGGACACCATGGAGCTTCGGATGTCGAATGCCGTCGTTACATTCGGGTTTGAAATTTACGATTTATTAATGTCAGGGTAAGATAGAATGCACATTTGATATTTTCCGTTTTTTGTAGCAAAATTATATTAAAAGAGATATCAGAAGGCAAAAAGCTCATGGTATGAACACCTTTCCCGAATGGATTTTCGTCATATTTCTTTGATACTGTTTGAGGGGACCTTCTTGTGATTTTTCGGCGATTTTCGCCCCTCTTGCCGAAATTGACTTTAATGCATTTTCAAGGAGTTTCTAGGCCCCCGGTTCTCCCCTGAAAATTTCAAGGCCCGACCGTTATTTTTTAGGTGGTAGCAGCGATTTTCGATGTCGACCGAAATATTATTTTTTTGATGTTACCTTAGAAAATCGGCAATTGTGACGCAATGATTAGAGATAATAAACGTGTGAGGTTATTTTCTGAAAGCTTATCAAATTTCACATAAGATGAGACCAACATTCTTTTTTTCGGAATAATTTCAAAAATCCGGCAAGCGTCCAAAAAACGACAATGAAGAAATTTTCCATATAAATAACTAAACATGATATGTTTTTCATATGGTGTATTTTCTGTTCTTTATGTTTTCATCATACATAGTTACTTTGATCTATGAGCAAAACATTTCGAAAATGCAAACCTCCCCCCCCACCCATGGGGGGTAGTTTTGCCAAATATTCAGGATCACCACCAAAATTTTATGGAATATTAATTAGGCTAAGACAAACCTCAGGTTAAAATTTTATTCAAATCTGTTGATTACTTTTCAAGTTAGAAAAAAAATTCCTGGATCCAAACCATGGTCCGCATCACCACCAAACTGCAATAAGCGTCAAGTTAGGTTAAAACTCACCTTTGGTTAAAATCTCGTTAAAATGTGTTCATAACTTTTAGAAATATTAGAAAACACAAACTAATAATAAAAAAACAACAAATAAACAAATAATAAACAAACAAAGAAAGAAACGGAAGTAACAATATAAATAAACAAAAGGTCATGGGGTACACGAAAATTATCTATATGTGCTCATATACCTTATATACATACTTTCACATCGCCATGTAATTGTTTTTCGACTTTCGACGGGGTCTGAGAGTGAAATGTGGCTACGTGACCCCGTAGAGTTATTCCGCAGATTTAAAAAGACGATTTTCATGGTCCAGGACGGCCCCGTCGCGTGGGGAAAAGTATGTGTTTGGTACCCGTCCGACTGGAGAAAAGTTATTCTTTCGACAAATATTATACGTTGTAAAACCTCATTAGAGCATCAATAATAGGTATATGATAGATAATTATATCAAATACAAATATTCTGTACATGATTTGTCATGTAAAATGTAAACATAATAAAAAGGAATAAGATCGCGTTTTTTAGGTCCGTCATATCTTTACGCATAGCACATTTTGTACCTAAATAATAGTTCTATTACATACTGCCATGAGGATTTGCAATATTTTCACGTGGTTCTTGTAAAAGTGACATATGTTTTCAAAATCTCCTATTAGGGTTAAAATAGTCACCTTCGGAAAATATTCACCAAGAAGAAAGTAAGGTCAACTTCTCAAAAATGGCTTCTGCATATAGTAGTAGAAAGATAGTTCTATTCAAACATGAAATCAGAATGGCTGGATTTTTGAGAAATTTTTTAAAATGGTCAATGTAGGCCTATAGACCCCCAGATCACTGCCACCACTCCGCACTATACGTAAGATTTTGAGAAACCGTTACGTGCTGGCAATGTCCGCAAGACTTCGGAATGCAGGTAGAGGATAGAGGATTATGGTGTAGGAAGACTAATCTTATGCCTTGTTTTGTTAATATCAAGATAGCCTTGGAAAGATGAAGAAACGTAAAATGCCGATATCTCGGAACTCCACCTTTCGGGGTGGGTCAAAGGATTCCGGGCACAACATATGTCCAAAATTAACATATTATGGCTCATTTTGTAGAAAAATAAAATATCTGCAACTTGATCGAGAGCGTTTTCGCAGTTTTTGCCTGTACTTCTTGTAAAAGTGGTCAATGTAAGAAAATTTTTACCTTTTTTTTCTTGAAGTCCCCTACTTCAAAAATTCACAAAAAAAAAGTCGAAATCGAAAAAACGCTCTCGATCAAGTTGTAGATATAAGGTAGTTCTGTGCAAAGATCAAATAAAATTGAATGTCTTGCCGTTTCTGAAGTCTGAATCCTTTGACCCAGGTGCTGCATTTTCAAAATGGCGAATTTCGCATTTTTCCGTTTTTTGACAATAATTCAAAAACTGTTCGGGCGATTTCGAAAAAAAATCGACCACAGGCAATGGGAAGGGGCCCAAATAAAAGGGTGAGTTTCATCAAAATCGGCAAGAAAAATCGAAAAATCGAAAAAAAAAAGGCAGACGGTCCCCTTGATGGTTTCATCTACTTTGGTGTTTTCATTTTTGGCATTGAAGTGCCGACTGAGAACATCTCTTCCTGCATTTAGTAAACATAATAAAAAAGACAATATCACGTAACTAGTTTTGCGGTTTTCTAGCAGGCTTCTCGGATGGAAGTATAGATTATAAATCATGACTTTTTTCCAACTTTGATTTTTTTTTTTAACTTCTATTCATCATTGTTTGTGAAAAAAGTTTATTTAATGCCACAAACTCGAAAGAAAAAAAAAAAGGACTGGGGCTCGAACCCCAGTCCCCCCGCCTCGAAGGCAGGTCTTTAACCGATTCAGCCATTGGGAATATTTCTGGAACTGCTGTTCGGGATAAATAACCTGCCAGATTGTTGTTGGTGTTCTTAGTTTTCGGTGTAATTCTCATTAAAATTTGTTTAGTATATATATATATATATATATATATATATATATATATATATATATATATATATATATATATATATATATATATATATATATATATATATATATATATATATATATATATATATATATATATATATATATATATATATATATATATATATATATATATATATATATATATATATATATATATATATATAA